GAGGCGAATATTAACTCTGCCCTTACGCCTTCCGTGAAGTCGGGCCTGCCTTGGCTCGGTCACCTTACGAGAGCCGCGGCCGGCGCCGGTTCAGCGCGGTTAAATGTCGCGTCGCCGACCCTCTCCTTATCATGCAGTCTGCTCCAAGTTCAGGCCGGCAGTTTGCTGATCTCCAGCTGGGCAGGGCGGCGTTTCGCCGCGCCGCGTCGGCGCCAGAGCCAGAATAGACACCCGCGGGCAAACTGCCGCTCTGAAAGGGCGATGAGACGCCGCCCGGGGCGGACTCTCAGGTCACAGACGGTGCCGACAGAGCGGACGACATCCTGACCCCCCCGGAAACCGTCCATGTTTCAGACCGACGACGGTGTCTGTCGGCGGCGCTTGAGACCGACGGCCGTGTCTGGATTGACTCCAAGGCGTTACGGGAAGCTAACGGCGACTTCTGGCGACACAAAGCCAGACGACGGTCGCTCAGAAGCTCCGGTGTCGTCGTTTGGCGGCTTTATATCAGATATGGTGATGTCCTCTTACAGTGAAGAGCCGCAAAGACCTCAGCAGCCGGAGTCGCCGCACAAGTAGATGCAGTGAGTGGCTCAGTGCTAATATGGACATAAGAGAGCCGCTAAGTGACCACTCTAACAATGGATGTGGATACTTTCAAGATTGAATGTCATTTAGTGGAGTTTTCTAGTCACATCCCTTGCTGAAATGTACGTTTAGGGCTTTTACGAGCCAACATGTTCTTCCTTGATGGAATATCAATAACCGCCTAATGGCTGTCTGCAGAGGTGCCGCATAGGTGCTGCCCCGCGCCCCTGCACGGATCTAGCCGGCCGGGGACGCGCTGAATTGCAAATTTATACAAGAACCTGTCAATCACTCAGCCGTTGACGAGACACAGTACACTCAATAGGCCACGATACAGGGTGGGACAGGGCTGTCCATGTGTTTTGAATCTCAATGGTGTTGAATCTGGGATCCCGTTGGCTTGTACCGTCTCAGGTCAATCCCAGGTAACGCGGCCCGATCTAACGCGGTGCGATCTATCGGCAGCGCGACTCTTTGTCTTTCTGTGAAATTTATGGCGTGATATTACCTCGTACGAGCCTATATATCGGCCCAGCGATTGATCCTGGTAAAAGGTAACACCACCATGGTGCGGCGGAACGACCACAGGCTCGCCACCGCTTCACACCAAGAATGGACTATCGACTCGGACGGAACATTCTGTACACATGTCCATGGCCTGCCCGCATGCAGGGTTTGAGGTGCAGGAGCACGTCGATCGGTTAAAGGTGGCCGACTTATATGACGAGCTCGTGCGGGCCGTACGTGACACATGCCGTCCATTAGACGCCGCGTGTCCGTCAGACCACACGCACGTGTCATCGCGCACGTCGCCACGTGTCATATTTGGACCGGTCACAGTGACACTGACACATTTCTGAGCTAGAAATACCTGGCCAGCCCACTCTCCCGCCTACACCCTGGCCGTTGCTGCCGCAACAGAAATCAACACTGCAGCGGAGTCGTCTTCACTGTCGGTCCAGATTACTTCACTAATACGGGCAGGCAGGTTCAACCTCAGGTGACATCTTCGAAAATATATAGTTTCGGCTTTTTATTGGCGGTGGGCAACAAGAGAATGATGGAACAACGGGCTCCGTTTTAGACCATAGGTCACGAGCTGGTGAACGGCTTGATGCTACGATCGCTAACGGCGACGGTGGAAGCGCATTAACGATGATGAGACGTTCGATCCAAGTTATGAGGGCCGATTGTATTTAAAATGATGGCCCTGCAATCAATCACCATTTATTAGTAGGCAGGCTGGCGGTGCTTATTGGAAGTCATGCAGCCACTAATAATTGTGAGTGATATGGCGGCGGCGCGTGCCACGAGGCAGCTACCCAAGTTAGCCTCGGTCCCCGGGGGATATTGGTAATTGATAATGCGCTGCGGGCCGCGGCCACCCGCTATTACGAATGCTCGGCTTCAGGCCTCCATGTTTACGATGTCACACACCACGATCAAAGAGGCCGGTGCCTCGCGCTGTCACGAACCAGGCGTTATCAAATCAAACCGTAGCACCGAGATGTGATAGGTCTCCGAGCTATGGTTCCTCTCACAGAGCCGCCACAATCTATGTTTGTGTTTGGTGCAGCCTTAGCGGTACCAAAATGCGGCGTCGATTCGTCACAAACCTATCACTCTGTTGAGAATCAGTCCCTCCTGATATAGCGCCGAGTGGAGCACATTTTGGCATAAACAGGACACCGTCCAATCTGCCCACAGGTCCTGGAAATAGCATTCACCGAAGCGCCACAGATTCAACGACGGTCTCCGAGGGCGACCCCCAAGTCCGCGGGGTGTATGTGTCGCGTGTAGGCGGCGGGCACGGGCGGCGACTCTGCCAACACACGGCGACCACCGAGCGACGCGCCACGGGTGCAGCGAGATGTTTGCAGGGTCACGAAGCCGGTCGATTGGGCTGGAGACCGCCCTCACCCTCGCTCCCCGACCCAGTTTGGCGACTCTTCGGGTTCCACTTGCATGACCCGGACGTGCGCTAGGAGGGGGCTGGATGATCCTCGGACATATTTACGTGCACAGTTCGACGCGGCGATGAATGCGGAAGAAGACAAAACTACATAAATCTCATTTGATTTGAATTTTAAGCCCAATGCTTTTCATGTTATCCAAAAAAAGGCCGTTTCTCAGGTCCTCACATTTTTATTTCTTTTCGCCTTTTTCTGGAATTGCTTTTAAAGACATCGTAATTTCAAGTTCGCTAGCTCCGCCATTTCCATCGCTTCATTACAGCCAACTAATCACCTTTTCCCGCCATATAGCACTTGATTGCCGGTTGTATCAACGGTTATGGCCCATCATGAGCGCAATCTCTGTCGCTGATGATTTCACAGCAGTCCTTTTCCATGAACATAAACTCTGAACTTCCGTGACATCCTATACTAAGTGACCCGGTAAATTCAGAACTGTCCCCTTTCACGTCAAAGTGACAAGCTGCAAAGTCGCACGCCGCCGTTTGCGAAAGCGTGTAGGCTCGATCACACATAAAGGCGACCGGAAAAACATTTCTGGAGTTTGAGCGATTGGCCTGTTATTCTCTACGTCTGAGGAGAGGTAATAGGGAAACTTTGCTGCCGTCAAAAAAGTTGACGACTCTTGAGTGAAACTAGCTGTTTGGGATTTAAGCAGAAGCGATGCCTTCGGTCGTTCGGAGTCTGTGCTGATCGGTTCTGATCAGTTCAGAAGTGAGTGACGTCTTATTCGTCATGTTGTGTGAATTAAATGTTTTCTGCAGCCAAAGTCACTCCGGCAGTCAACTTTTTAGTCTCAGGCCCTGAGCACCGAACAGTGAACAGTAATAACTGTCTGCCATTCATTGTTACATTTAAGCACTGTGAGACAAATATTAAATGCTTAAGGATCAATCTTTTTTAACCCGCGCGGGGCTGGGGTCTCCAGCCGAACGCGCGGGGCTGGGGGGGGGGGGGTAAATTTTACCCCCCCCCCCCATCTCCCGAACTAATGATCCGATTTGGAAAATTCAAACGCCAATCGAAAGCTCTCATCACGAACTACTAAAAACATGTACTTAATTTAAAGTTTGAGGTCAAGGTCAAGGTCAGGTCAAGGGTACAAATTGCAAGTTTCTACAGTATCGGCCTTGCACCGTAGTTACCGAAGAATGGAGTCATGGACTGAGACTGATCGCCCAAAACGTGTTCTTAGGCTACCAAGACAATATTCGTTGCATACAATATCATTCAGAGGTCAAGGTCAAGGTCAGGTCAGGTCAGGTCAGGTCACCAAAAAACAAAATATAGAAAAGGGCATGTGAGACACATGTTTTATGGGTCATTTTACTCATAGAATTCAATAGGCACACTCAATAAGTGATATGGACCACCTCTGGATGAATTTCAGGTCGAGGTCAGGTCAAGGTCAGGTCAAATGAGGTCAAATTTTGAAGTTGGTTGTTAAGGCCTAAAAAGGTGTCTATCTGATGCAGTTTTTCACGGCGAATCGAATGGTGCTATTTTTGTTTCCGTACGAGGTCTAGAACTTCCAAAAAAGTTATTTTTCAAATTTTTTGTGTGTCGTGACGTCATAAAAGTTTGAATAACTCCCACATTTTTGAACCGATTCTTCTAAAATTTGGTATGTAGGTGCACATAGACCACTTCTCTGACATATATTCCGGTTTTTTCGATAGACTCAAAATTTTGGATTTTATGATGATTTTCCCAAAAAAGTCAGTTTTTTGAAAAAAATTAGGCCAAAATCCAAAATTTTTAAAAAACCGAGATGGCCATTTGATAGACAAAGTAAAATTACGTATAACCTTTTTTGTTACGTCTTGATTCCTTTAAAAATGAAGATGTTAGCGGCGTTTGAACTTTTGCCGTTTTTGAGGCGAAAATGGCGAACATGACGTCACTAAAACGTCAATTTCTCAAAAATTTTCCGACCGATTTCGCTCAAATTTTCAGGGAACGTGTCAAATTGATGTAAGAAAAGGTACTGAAACTTTGGCGGCGCTGCGCGCCGCCGTTTTTGAGATATCGCAAAAATTCGCGAGGGGGGGTAAAATTTACCCCCCCCCAGCCCCGCGCGGGTTAATTCATTTCCCGTTTGAATCAGTGTAATTAATCTGCAGGCTAGGTGAAGCTTTGAGTAAGCATTTCAACACTGAAACGTAATATTTACAAGATATATACAATCAACCATTTAAAATCAAACAATGATGGCCCACTTAAACACTTTCTTAAAAACATGAAGCACATGGCAGCAGGGCACACAAAGCGTACCGCACGGCGGCGGGGGCCAACGATCAGCGGGGCGGTATGGGAATGGTGGGTCATGCTCTTGGCGCGACGTTCAAAACATTTGCCGGCTTCGCCGCAAGCTAGAGGACAGCCCACGGAGCTTTAGTGCGACCAGAGATCGGGATAATGCAAGAGCAAGGAACTTACTTGTGGTGTCCAGATCGGCTGACGCGATGGAGATGAGAAAGGTCACCAGCAGCGCTGGAGAGGTCATCAGCTTCGGAAGCATGGTGAGGTGAGATGGCGGCCCGTCCGGCCTGCCGTGGACCTCTTGACGGAAGCCTCCCAGCAGTCTCGAAGCAGAAAACCACAGGTCAGTCCACGAAGCTGGCCAGCTTCTTTTCCTTCGTCCTGATACTTAGGCCTTCACTGATTTCACAGTGAGCTGAGTGTCCTATGCAGATCACCGGCTAGCCCATGTCTGCTCTGACTGTAGCACAGATGACTCGGAGGTAGGTCCGCACCTTCAGCTGGCTCTGTGAGCCTCCTGACCACTGCAGGATCTGACAGATGGACCGGTGTACACTCAGCGGCAGCCTGAAACAGAGACAAACCGGTCAGTGGGAGCCGAGGGGACGGCATTACAACTGCAGGTCTGCACAGTACATCGGCATTACGCCCTATATGGATGTCATCAGCGGCGAGCGTCACACAAAGTCGACCGGTCGGCTGCAGCGGTGAGCAAGAGACAGAGTTCTACGAGATGTGATTACACGGTGAGCGAAGTCACTTGTTGGATTCGATTTAGACGGTATGTGTGCTTTTGGATCCAAAATTGAAGGACTTTAGAACGGCATGAGCTGTAGCAAGGTGCTTGGGTTTGGTCTAGCTCCAATCACACAAGGGACACGAACCAAAAGTAAACAGATAGCGCCACACACACATCCACGTGGAGGGTCGCCCGGGAAGACGCACTGCCCGCCCGGTCGGCCGCCATTTACCCCGTTTACATGAGTCATTCAGCCTAAACGGAAATATCCGATTAGCCAGGGAACGGAAAAATGCGTTTCGGTGGCCCCGTTTACATGAGCCTTATCGGAAAAATCCGTTCCGGAACGGATAATTCCCTTTACGCCGGCAGCCCGAAAAATACGGATATTTTGCGCATTTTTACATGTCTGGCGCAGCTCCTATCAAGCATTATTTGTGCTTGTTTTAGGCTTAATTTACTTGATTCTTTAAAGTTTTGTGTGTAGAATTGGAAATAATCATGGCACAAGCCATTATTTTACTTGTGTGCTGTAAAAGAAGTGTGATTAACTGTCAGAAAGCAAGAAAACAATTGAGGCCTTGGACAACATTGAAGAGCACATCTTGATCTATATTGAAAGTCTTTTTGGTTTCAGAAAAAGGCTAGGACAGCTCATAATAGTCATAGCTCATCATGATGGACCTCCAGTAAGTTGACAAAATGAAAATGCATGAAAGGATGTGCAGGATGGTGCCACACTTCAGAAAACATTGGTTTGAAAGTGGGTGGTGCGGGATTATGTATACATTTTTGGTTGACACATTTGAAGCACTTGAATATTCCAGCATTTTATTTTCATTTTTTGCTTTTAGCTGCTCAGTTCTTCAAAGACAGGGGTCAGATCAGTACTAGGTGAATTGTTTAGTAGATGTGACATGTGGGTGCATTGCTTGACTGTCGGATGCAACACAGTATCCATCATTTCCATGTGTTTTAGTCATAAAAGAAATTACATCTACTCACCACCAAACTTTAAGACACTATCAGTGCGATTTTCAAAATGCATAGAATAATCCACTCTAAATCACACCAGGTAAGATGTGAAGATGAAGTCCGAGTGGTACCTATGTGGTTTGGTAGGTTGGTTGACCTTGTAGATTGGTAGGAAGTAGTTTGGTATAATAGGTTGTAGGCATGTAGGTGCATTTGTAGGATGGTAGGTTGAAAGTTAGGTAGGTAGGTAAGGTTAGGTATGATTCTACAAATTCCACAAAGCTTGCCAGTTGCCTGCTTCCACCATGCGAGATTAACCAAACTTTCAGAGACCTTCCCACCAATGAAGAATCTACTTCTTTGGAACAATAAGGTGAACATTTAAATATTGGTGGGGGGGGGGGGGGGGCAGATGGCAGTGTCACTGAGTAAATTTGGCTGTGTGTCTTGTGTATATTTTGGCATGCAGCCAAGATACTGTCCCAACCAGCCTGCGTGCCCTGCCGTCTGGTGGCTGTTCGCTGAAGCATAAGTTATCTGAATCACTGCTAGGAAGTTTGAAGTACCTAGGTAGAGAAAATTTTTGGGAGCATGTACTAAAGCAAAAGAAATCAAGCATCATATCCAGTGTACCAAGCACTAAATGGCACTAGCATGCTGTTCCAAGTGGGCGTGGCTATAGGGAGTGACTGGCTGGGAAGGCTATGTTGGTTGCCCTGGAATTGAACCCTGATTGTTGAATCTAAGAAATAAGGAAATTACCCCTAAACTAGAATGCTTCCCTTTTGAAGCATAGGACGTTCTTCTCAACACTTATGTAGGTACTTTATGAATCTGCCACAATGGCGCGAAATCAGGGGCAAAAAGTGGATTTCATTGTCATTAGACCTACCATTCAAGATAAATATGTATTTTGATGTGTAAACTAAAAAATTTCATCTATAAAACATGCATATTCATGTCATTTTCTGCTAGATGCGCAAAAAATCCGTTTAGGCCTGACGTCCTAAACGGATATTTCCCATTAATTCATCGGATATTTCCGTTCCGCGTAATCGTCATTTTTGCGCGCCCAAACCAGTTTACATGAGTCGAAACTTGCGCACTTTTCGCTAAACGGAAATATCCGTTCTAAACGTCATTTTCGCTGACTCATGTAAACGGGGTAATTGTGCCCCTATTGTGGTGCAGGACTCAGTGGCGACATATTGCCGTGCCACTCCAGAGCCGATAGTGTCCTATCAGGTGTCACTCGCCGGCAGCTTATCGCCGCGTAATGACCCCCTGATCACATACACTGCCGGGCACACACAGACAGACACACACGAGGTGGCTATTTGCGGCGGTCGGCGCCGGTCAACGGCGGCGCTGAGATAGTATCGGACCCAGTTTCGGCCGGACGGCAAGGCGGTTCGCTTGGCCGCACAGGTCGGCAGAGGAAAATATACGGGCCAGATAGGAAATGGTTGGCGAGCAAGGCTAGCGTTCCAATGCGGGAGCACATCCGGGATTGGAAAGTATCGTACACTTTGAGCAAGCGTGTGTAGTATAAGATCACAGAGGCAGAAGTGAGAGATGAAAGGTTCTTTAAAGCGATATTTGAACATAGTAGGCTTCACATTGGCCGGCAACGCTGCACTGTCCAGCTTTGCCATCGCTTTGAACTATTCGGCAATCGACGCACGCGTCGTGCTTTGGAAGGATATTCGTCAATTTGAAGTGCATCTATCGATAAGCAAAACCATTTTACGTCAAACCGTTTAAATTAGCCTGAGATATTAAAAATTTCACCTCTGGAATAGATCGTCCGTCCATGAATTGTAAGCCGTTGTTGCATCATCGACAAAGCTGTGCGTTTCTACATTCCATTTCTGATGGATGTCATCCACAGCAGCTCCATCCATCACACCCGTCTCAGCTCTCCCAATTACGCGTCAGAACCATCTGTCGATTTGCCGGGCAGCTCCGACCGTTTCGGTAAAAACTCCGTCGGATGTAGCCGCTTGCAACACCTCGAACAAGGCCTGTGTCTCTCACTTCTCAGCCGACAGACCACCAGGAGGAACAGACGTGGCAGCCGCGCCGATCAAAGCCCGCTGCAGTCAGCGGGCGGCCAGCACGTGTTCGCTACGTTGCAAACTGTTGCTTACGTTCGCTCGTAGGCTGAGGTCACGGCCAGAGAGGCGCTGCCCTCATGTTTGAATGGAACACGATGAACGGCGGCTGGCGGATGAATGGACGGTCAGGATGACACATCCATTCGCATGTGCTTAGAGCAGACAGTTGGGTTTTCCTGCGCTGTCTTTCTGGATTTAACTGACGCAATGCGTTAGCCTAATTTGCTTCTAAATCCCAGAATTCCCTAGCTTGTTTTTATTGTATTTAGACGATGTCTGCACCGAAATCCCCTGGCTACAGCTCATGACAACTGAGACATCTATGTCTTGATCTTACAGCCTCGTAACAGATCTTATTTATGCATTATTCGGAGAGCTCTGATGTTTCGTGGCTCGACGCGGCGTGTCATGGGGCGTTGTCATGACAACTTGCATACGCTGCACAGCAGCATGCAGGATTGCAGAGGGAGGCGGCACGCGCTGCAAGCTCTGTGGGAGGGGCTATTCTGGGCGGGTGCCGGCGTGGCACCATGTGTTCCGGTTGATGGCTTTGATCTCAAGATAAGCTCGGATAAGTGGCAGCCGCCTCATGACTCCGACCGACGGCGCTCGGCCGCATAATGTCGACTATTCAAAGGCTGCACTCGTTCCGACATTTTCATGTGATCCATATATGCAGGGTGTACGCTGTGCAATAGATGCCGCATGTATAACATTGGAGTATGAAGTGCCCTCCCGCGATGGTGGCAGCGAAATACGGCCGGACATAAGGTTTCGCCAACGGGTGGTGTTGACCGCTGAATTAGCAATGCGGTGACCGCGACTAGTGGCACACAAATAAGGCTGATATTTATCGATCTGCGGGATATTTATCAATTAGAAATGCTGCACGCATCCGGTCGTAATATTTGACCTTAGCATGACATTTGACGGTTGAGTTCAATACAATGTATGTATGCATGTAATGTATGCATGCAGCATGCCAGCTTGCATAATTTTGTATGATACAAGATTAAGAAGACAGATGCCAGTTGGTTGACTGTCGCCATGCCTGCAACGATTTATTGTCAAGATGCGGCTGTTCCTGAATTTATGGTTCAGAAGTTCAATCGACATCAGCTTAGCTAAACATGATTTGGGTTTAACTGATTTTCCGATAGCGGTAAATTTACAGCCAAACCAGCTGGTTACTTTATTGAAGTCCAGTGCAGCTGTATACCTGCGGTACTATGCACTTGCAGCCCATGGAAGCGTGGGCCAAGAAGTCCGTGGACTATGAGAGGCGGCTTCATGAAAGAGCACAGCTTGGATGATGGGGAGCTGCGCCTGCACGATGCACGCCGAACACTGCACAGTGCAGAGTGCAAAATTGCATAATGAACACCCAAATCAGCTCTAAATAGCATTTTCTGTATTTCCTGACGAATGGACTATTGCTAATTGTCTAACCAATAGCATTAAGTACGTTTCGACGAGGAAACTGTTAGTATTTAATTAGATCACTGTCAGTAATCAAAATCTATTCCACAAGTTGATGGCTGCCGAAAAATTGTTCCTATCTGCACACTGCCATTTCGAAGTTCGCTAAGCCTCAATGTCTATTCAGGGCCATTCGTAGCGGCACCAGCTGATCAAACGACCTTCGTCTAATTACACTACATACAGGCTCACGAAGTTCTCTGACGTCACCGAACAGAACTGTCCCGGACATACATGCACCAGTGCGCTACCGTCGCGTTTCCAGTGATCTCATTATGCTCCCGCAAGCGAGCAGGTCACGGAACCAGACGTGAGACCGACTGGCCTCTCCAAATCTCATTTCAAAAGTTAGCTGCACCATTGATGAATGACAGAGTAGTCGTTCAGCGATTGACCCGGGTTCTGAGACGTTTATTAACGACATTCGGAAGGCCACCTCCTCTGGAGAGAGAGGAGCGACTCGGGTGGGCTCTCTCCAACCCCCCCCCCGCCCAGTGCCGACTTCCGGCGCGTCGCGCACCATTTGTATCCATCGCGCCGGTTATGTCGATGGGCGAATTACGATGATTGGCGGAAGCGTCAGTCACCATCGGCTCTGTCAATTAAAATTAGCCACGCGTAGGCGTGTTGGCAGCTGGCTGGGCGGTACCGCACACTCCCATGCTCTGCCTGCTGAGAGTTCGGCACAGCGGGTCATGCGAGGTCAGCCGAGGTCACGTCAGGCTCTCTCCTGCTCCGACTGAAAGCGCAGCGATACTGCATCTCGGATACAGTATCTGGCTTGACTATCACCGCACAAATCTCGACCGCTCGGCGGCGAGCGATTGTGAGTCACCTGTCACGACCAGTTCCCACAGATCTAGCGTGTCCGGTGCTGAAGTTGAGCTCACTGACCATGTTTCGAGCCATTGTCGTCCCAGACAACGATCTGCGACTCCTGTTGCAGCGGCGGTGTCGCCTGCTTCCTGGCGCCGGGCCGCCGTTCCGCCGCCGCTGCCGTTGTCGAGGCGGCGGCGGGCGATGACAGTTTCACCGAGCTCTGTCGCTGCACGACACGGCGCCGTCACCCGGTGCTGGAGGGAGGAGGCGCGGGCGAGCCGTGCCGAGTCGTCCGTCAGGCCGGTCAGGTGACATGGCTACTGTCCGGGCGACCCGAGCGGTCCTGGCCGCCGTCCAAACAGCCCCCCGGGTGGGAGCGTGCAGGCCAGGCCGCCCGACCCGCAACCGGCCGCCGTCGGGCGCGCCTACTGCATGGTGCATAGTTGGTTCGTCCGACGGCCAACATGGATTGTGATGAGAACCGGAGATGGTGTGGTCCATGGTCCGTTGGTCCGGTGAAGAGTGGTCTGTAAACGTGACAAACTGTCCAGCTCTTTACTGTGTGGTCTGTGCTGGCCTAGAGGCAACGTGAGTAGTGGCAAGTTCATTTGTCACTGAAACTGCGAGAAATAGCATGTTTTCGGAGGCGATCCCTCACCAGTAGCTTATTTAATATTTAGGGTGGCCGGGTGATTTTTGAGCCCGGTCTGATGGTCATTCCGCGCCCACGAAAGGGATCCTCGCATTGACTGGTAATGACTTTACTGTGGTAATGACTGCTATATGATGAAACTCATTTTTAAATAAATAAATAAATGCGTCAGTGCCTGTGAGCGAACAATTCAACATGATGAAAAGTAAAATTGAATTAGGCTAATGCAAGAGCCTGAATAAAAAGCTTTAATAAAACTATAATTTGAGATATTAGTTCGCATTATGGCTTGGCCTGCATGGGTACCAGCTATTACAGCTTTTTTAGTCCATCACAGCCTATATTATGCCTATATAGATTCCCACACACAGCGCAGTTTCTAACGTTTACTCGTTTTTTTTTTTTTGGCACGTTTGTCTCCAACACAGATATATGCTGTTTGCCGTCCTCGCCGACACTGATTTACCTAATTTCCCGGTCTACCTTCCGCCCAGTGAGTGTCGCGCTCACTCGACACTGAGCCTGTTTTTAGAGCGGCGGCACCGGCTCTCGTTAGCACGCGCTACGTCCCTCCCAAGTGGCCCGTTATGCCGCTCACACAATACACAGTACCCAGCTCGTGCACGCCAAAGGACAGCTGATCCGAAAATGGACCGGGCTCACCCGTTTTATAAAGTCCGAAACGTGTAAACACCCTGATGAATTCCCCACGCGTGTCCAGCGTCACGTCACGTCGTCAGGGTTTTAATGGCCTTAAAGCCAAGAACGGATAAAAGGGTGAAACTGATTTACTGCACAAGGTTAAATCCAAAAGCACGGCGAATTTAACAAAATGAAAATATATGAGGCTTAGCATTTTCCGTAGTATGGGAAGAATGGTCGAAGAAGCTTAGAAGCCCGGTGGTGGTATAATCAAATAAAATACTTGGTCGGACTTAAATTTGTATTCTAATGTTTAAAAGTCTGTCATGTGGTCGGATTATCCATAGAACAAGACATCCACCACGTAAATAGCATGACTCACATGAATGTGACATTCTAATGCTTGTACTAAGACATACCTGAGCTCACAAAGCAATGCTCATGACAGGACAGATTAATTTCTCCGACGTGCTTTGACAACAAAGTTTGTTATACTTTGGGACACCACAAGATGACAATGAAATGGTCCTCAGCTCAGACACGAACAAATGTCGTCACGCGTACCGATTTCCTGCAAAGGCTGTGATTCATCTGTTTCGTGAATGTCGTCAAGTTTCGTGACATTCTCGTGTTTTGCCATCAAGAGCCCCGCTCAAGACCGACCGTTCCATTATTCATCATAGCAACTGCACCTGACGGACGTTTAAGCGCCACGATCTCATCTTCCTGGCTCAATGCAGTCCGAACACCGGTCGCGCATGGTCAAACACACGCTCCGTCGCAGGTGAATTCGTTATCAAACCGCCTCGTGGTTGTCCCAACACGACGGGCGACAGCGTCGGTACCGTTCATCGTTCGACGCGGTCGACGAAGCGACACGACTGGCGGCTCTGACATGTTCCAGATACAGCGTGGCGTGCATTAATTTGGGACTCGTGGCCCCCGCTGACCGCAGCTGATCGTTATCATTGGACGAGGCGCGCCGAACAGACCGCTGGTCCACGGAGTTCATGGTCCACTTGGTCCACTTCATGAAAATATATTATTGTAGCCCAAACAAAGGAATATTTCTCTGATCGATATTTATGTTGATAGCAAAACGTTATTTGATGTGGCAGCACGACACGATTTTCAAATGCAATCAGGTTAGTTTAACAAAAATGAATGATTAAAAAATCGGGTTGAGCGCGACATTGATAAAAATGAAATAAAACATTTCGAGCTGGGAACCAGCTATAGACTTCATTTAGTCAGCTCGATGATATGATCAGTGCTAAAACATTTTTTTTTTCAGTCGGCGCAGACTGCAGTTGACTGTGAAGGCGCTGCCCCCATCCGGTGCCCAGCACTGACAGTCACCTGCAGTTAGATTATCGTCCGCGACGCACTGAGCCCCACCACGACGACAGATATTTGCGCTCAGACGCCACCTGCCGCCTGGTGCGAGTTTGAACAGCGACCATGGAGTGCACGAATCGTGCACAAATCGTGCACACGTCAGCGCGGCCCGCAGCTGAGTGCACCGCCGCGGCGGTGACTGTCTGTCACCGATCACCGGGGGTCACCGAGCGAACGATGACGGTGACGAGATTAGCGGTGAACGCGAGAGCTGGTGGCACGGTGGTGAGAACCATACCTCCCACACCGGGTGAGCTGCAGAGGGATTATACGGCGAGACGGCCACAACCACTGACCACCAGCACAGTCCACCGCCTCTGACGGTCCCCGCGCGCCCATCCAGCAGATAAAACGACGAGAAAACTGACCACCGCGACCGGGTGACCGAGACGTTCTGGCACTGTTGGTCGGCAGTTCGGAACCGAGCGCCTCCGCGGCGGCAGGGGCCGGTAATTTCCCCACCTGAACAGCAATCGGTGTCGGATCGGGGCCCAGTTTCCTCCCGTCGCGCTCTCCTGCTGGTGTCTCGGGGGGGGGGGGGGGCACCACCAGAGGCTGGGAGTCACAGAGCAAACTGGCCACGCTGAGTCAGCCAGGAGCGGCGGGAATGCGCTTAATGAGCTGGCCCGGACGCAAGAAACACAGCCAGCCACCGTTCACACATCGCCCGCCAGATGTTTAAATATGAAATACGGCCGACGCGATAAGAGTAATTGACGATAAAGTGGCGCACAAAGTGGGCCAGCGGCTAAATTTGGAGCTCCAGGTAGCATGCAATCAGGTGCATTTAGGAGAACACGTGCACGACATAAAAATAGGCGCAGCCATAATTATTAGCAATTATGAATACCACATTATCAATTAAAATATAACAAGGTGCAGGAAATACCAAACTGGATGTCCGCGTTCTCTTGGCAGAAGGACCGGAGCATGCATCAAAGTGTGACATATCGACGTCGTCCTGGCATCACCTCAATATCGACAGATACCGAACCGGTCGCTGATTGACGTAATCGCTTCATCTCCAGCGAGCACTAACAAGAATCTGTGCGAAATATGTCCTGACATCGGTGTGACGGATGCGAAAACATCTCGGCCACATGAGACGCTCCAAAAACACACCGCAGACATGAGAGGCTCGACACAGTCCGTCGGGGGCCGGGGGAGGGGGTATAATTTGGCAGCTTTACAAACCACCAGGATCCCAGATCTGGCCTCTGAGCAGGATATAGAGACTGTGTACTAAATCCGATTAACCGAATTAATGTGTATATTAGCGCACTTACCTGACCGCTCAGCCGTGCAGTTCAAGTTGGTCCGTGCGCGACTCGAGATCGGTGAGACTGGTGGCTCTCTCTGGTTTCGCTCAGCTCAGCTCAACTTAGCTCAGCTTAGCTCAGCTAAGTTCAGCTCGGGACCGGCTCGGATGTAACTGAGCTGGGTCAGTTCGGGTTTCTGACCGCCTGTCCTCTACTCAGAAAACCACCGCAGTAGTCTAGTAAGGCTCTCCACTCACCAGCCACGCACACTCACCGAGATCACGCCGACGACGCAACGACTCCGACGCCTCTCAGCTCAGTCAACTCCGGCAGAAAGGCCCCTCGCAAATACCGTCCAAACCACACAAAAGTCCTTCAACAAGTCCCTCAGCCTCCGTCTCGACACACACAACTCCTAGCTCAGCTCGCCGAGCGTGACTGAGCTCAGCGCGGGGCAGTGCCTCTCGCGCTCCAGCCACGGGCACGACCCTCCTACACCACCGACGTCCGGCGGGACACTGAACCAGCGCCGAGCTCCGAGCTCCGAGCGCCGGGCGGCGAGCGGGCGGCGAGCGGCGGCGGCGGACAACGGGCGGCGGCGGTAGCGATGGGTGGTGGGCGCGGGCGGTGGGCGCGGGCGGTGGGCGGTGGGAGGGGCGGTAGAGCCAGAGACAATCGGTTGATGGGTGGTGAACCTAGCCACTTAGCCAGTATTGCGCGCATTGAATCTCAGTTGCGCGGCTGGGACGATGTGAAGTTCAATCGTCCTACATGTTTTGTGCTGTGTGAAAGTAATGAATTCTTGCGTTCTGCGGAAAGGCAAATATAGCAACCTTAAGTTTTTCATGAAAAATGTTTGTTGTGACAAAAGTTCGTTGAGATAAGGACTGAGCTACCTAGGTCGGTTAAAAAAAACTTATCCTTTTAGGAACAAGAAATACGAAGGGTCAAACATACTGTTACGAATGTTCGGCGGAATTTTTCACTTTCGATGGTATTTGGCATAAGCACGAGCCTACATATGCATTGATAAAACCAGTTTTCTCCCGTACCTCGCTCTAGCTATTTTGCAATGAGGCTAAAATGCACAATCATTACGAACTCATTTCACCCATAAGATAAACTTTTCACAATATAAACTTATAAAAGCAAAAATAAAATTGTTGCAGCCAAGAACTACAACAAACTGTGGTGAACGCATATCAAAATTCAATGCTTAAATATCAAATGTCATTTCGTCCAATCCTGTGTCCAGTTGTGCGTACTATATTGCTGACCATCTTCAACGAATTCTAAGATGGCGAATCCAAGTAGCAAATTTAACTGCTCCAATAAGTTTCCTGTCAAGGCCCACTCATATTACCATCGGTCGTCCTTTATGAAACGACCAGTGTCGTTGACCGCGGGTCAACTTACATATTGGTTAGGCACCCGTCGGCCGAGGAAATGTTAGCCGGGAACAAGAGGAGATAAATAGTGTAAGTTGAAACATGGATGGCAGGTCGGACGGAGGATCGAGTGAGTTGTATTTTTTTTAGATGCGGACAGGACTTTGTAAATTAACTATTAATAGTTATGTCAACGTTTTTTCTCTACAAAGGTATTTTTATCAAAATTAATGAAATATACAACATAAGTTTTCTGAAGATATATGATGAGCCCTGTTTGTTTTTCATGACCGATATAATGGTGAAAATATAGGTTTCTTAGTTAGCGCAATTCCTTCAGCACTTTACCATGGATGAAAGAACCTGGATAGGAAACTCCTATTCCTTCAACATTACGGGCAGCGTTCCGGGCGATCGACCTGCCACCTAGCGTTCGGTAAGTATCGGGACTGGAAACTCCCGCCGTTAAAGGGACCCTCCCACCTTCAAAAAAGTTAATGAATTGACATGAAAGTGATGTCCCTTGGTTCAGAAAGAGCGAAAACGAATATCTACCAAATTTCACCGAAAAATATTCACTGGTTTTCAAGATATTAGGCTTTTACTTTTGTTTACTTTTTGGGATCTCCCCTGTTACTAGCGACTTTATTTGGAAGCAATAATTTGGCAGCCCTAAAGTGCGGCAGACGTTGCGCGCAAAGCAGCGTATACCACCACGTGTTAACGATGGTTTTAGTCTAAGATTTAAAAATCGTTAGATCTCCGCTGACGTCACAAATTCTAAGGGGGCATTCCAATGCATTAGCCCCTTAGAATCCGAAAACTGCAAGTTTGAAATTCCATATCTTCGAATTAAAGCATTTTTCGATGTTGTGAGTGTCCAAACCGGTATTTGCAGGTCATGGCCACCAATTTGGCTATCTCAACTCAAAACTAATGTTAAGGTGGGAGGGTCCCTTTAAGCATTACGGGCTATGGGGGACGCGGGGCGGCATGTTTTCAAACGGGTATTAGACCGCAATGCGGATTTATTATTAGGTTTAGAAGCTATTTACGGCAGACAAAATTGATCAGGCTATCGAATGAGACCAAAACTATTATTGTCCGTTCCGCACAAAAGTCGTACACGAGGGCCGAATACAGGCGACCTTGAAAAAGAGGGCCATTTCTAGTGTTTTTCTCTTACGCGGCGCCGGTGAACGCTTACGCGGCGCCAGTGAATGCGCGGCAGACGCGGCTCCCGCTGCCGCCGCGCGTGCCCTCGGGCACTTACCGAAGGGAACGCAATCAGCTGTTAGTTTCCAATCCAGGTTCTCCTTCATCCATGACTTTACTATTCCCAGCTTACCAACGGATGTATGTATGTGCACACATACCTGTGTCACTTTTGTGTCAAGTTTTCTCACGTGTCAGCAGTGTCATTACGCTGACGGAGAGCGTCATATAACCCGCGCCCCAGTGGCGGTCTCAGCCAACTTCGCCCTAGTGAGGGGGGGCATATGTTACCACCCACCTCTAACTCAAAAACTAAGAGAGCTAGAAAGACGCGGTAAAAAGCAGTCGATAGCTCTCAATGCGTACGTTTGAAAGTATTTCAGTCATTTTTCACCTTAGAGCAATATTGGGGTCACCAGAGGTCATCAAAGGTCAAAATTTGCCAATCGTTATTATATTTTTCAGAAAACATACCGCTATCTCAGGAACTATGGTAGCTAGAAAAACGCATGGAACAGAAATCGATAGCTTTTGAACTCTTCTTTTGAAAAGGTCTTTATCAATATTGCCCTCAGGTCAACGGTTTAGCCTCCAGAGGGCAAAAACTCCAAAAATAGCTGTTTTTACGAAAAGTGTTTTTCGACAATAACTTTCGACTACAAAAAGCCACGACATTTATATTGCCAGAATCGTGTTCCTCTCGCCGAGACGCGTCGAATGAACTATAAGTTGACCTTGAAAGGTCAACTTGAAAATTTGACCTCAGGTCAAGGTCATGACCTGACCGGAAAAGGTCAAGGTCATGACCTGACCGGAAAAGGTCATGTTGCATATCAGTCGATGCGTCTCAACAAGACAAACACAATGAGACCAACCCCAGCGTTCTATCTCTTTACAATCGCGAGTTATTGGCAAAAACTGTTTGTAGCCTCAAATGACCTCGGATGACCTTTCTAGAGGCTATCAGCAAAAATGACACCTTGGTCATCACGAGTGGACTAAGTCATTGTGATTCTGAAATATTTGGACTGTTCCTATGCGTACACACGGATCTAGAGGCATTTTCATTTTTTCTCCATTGACTTGTAATGGAAAGGTCACGCCACTGACCTGACCTTAGGTCACGGATATAAAAAATCCGAGATATACAAATTGTAGGCGCCCATAACAGCATGCAATCCACCAAGTTTGAAACCTTTCTGACAAACACTGCAGACTGGACATGATTGCAAACTTTTTTTTAGGCTTGGTCAGTTAACTTGACCTGGTGACCTGACCTGACATAACCTGGGGTCAAAAATTTCACACATTGTCCAAAATTGATGTACCAAAAGCTACCCCAAGCGGCGCGGCGCTACGTGCCGCGGTTTTTTATTCACACGCAAAAAACGCGACAGGGTGGTAACATATGCCCCCCCCCCCCCCACTGGGGCGAAGGTTAAAGACATGGTCGGGAACCGAACACAGTTCTAGCTCTTTACATCTCGCGCTGAGCTACCGCAACGAGTTGTGATCACCGGCAATAATTGCAGTCTGACGCACTGTAATCCAACCGCGTGACATCACCTGTCTGGATATCGGCGCAACTGCGCATAGTAATGCAGCATGCCCCATCGCTTACGCCCCATCGTTGGAACGAACCGAGTACCTACTGAACCTTTCGCAGAAATGCAAATCAGCTGCCCTTCCTGCTTCCATGCTGAGCTGAGAGACGACCAAACAAATGGCCAGTCAAGGTGGCATAAAAACGGCGCATGAAAGCCGGGCTCCACCCTCCCTCCGCCCCATTCACAGGTGGGGATGGGCCTCCCCTGGGGAGACCGTCCAACGCGCGGCCCCGGATCGGACAGGCCTAGGAGGTGCCGTAAACTGAATATCTCGTCTCTAGTGACGGTACCGGAGATGTTGGGCGTGGCGACAGTCACGGGGATGTTACGTGACATTCCGGAAACACTGTCAAGTGACTGGGTCTCGAGTGACGTCTCGGATGGTCAAATCCTGAGATGCGGAGCGGATGTGTTCCCTTCCACCTGAGCGATGAACAGGTGTCATATGAAGGGAGGCCTATGAGGGGCACCATTCTGGGTTTGTGTAGGTCACAACCGCTCTGTGGTAGCCGTGTAGCATTCCAAACAGATAACCATCGTATGGCGGAGTGCTGTGCTGGCGCTGGCGCAGCAAGTTTACAGCTGACGCACACCACCCACGCCGGCAGAAACCTGCACCGCAGAACGCAACCTCCTACACCGGCAACAATAAATTAGCAGCAGCGAGTTAACTGCATTACCGCGACGGTAGGAATTTTACGGTCCCCCAGTGCAGACAGTCGTCGCAGCTAGTCACCTCCGACCGCAGGCATATCTGCGTCGCGCTAGTGTCCCGCCGATGGCGCATTATAGATTTACTGACCGGTCGAGTCAGCTGGTGTGCGACCATTGCAACATGCTGCAGCCAATGGTCCGCCGTTAATGTCATTCTAATTGCTGGGGTCCGAGTGAGCCATCAGTGCAGTGCCCTCGAGGGACACAACTGCCTACACAGAGCCATAACGTGCGTCTTTCTACTGCGGGCGGATCCACCAAGAAGGTCATAAAACACTGATGCCTGCGTGGTGATTTAGAAGGGAGCAAACAACAAAGAGCTGCACCGCCAAAACCCCCGAAGATAACAAGACACGTCGCAATAGATTGTACGGAGAAGTAGTGTAGCAATAATGTATGAGTGCGCCGAACTGCGTCCGGAAATCGACAAACTTATAGAGAGGCGTTGGCGGATAGGTGTGGAGGAGTGAGCCTTGTGAACGTTTGAACAGTGAGAGTGGAGAGTAGCGTGGAGGATTCATCTGCTGTCATGATCTGAAAGGAATGTAAACCTCGGAACGGGCAGCCAAGTGGTCATTGGAGACACCA